GAAGAGGCTGTGGAAAGTAAAAAAATGATGGTGCGCTCCTGGCGCATCCTCTTGCGTTCTCTTATCCGTAGACGAGCGCTAAGCTAGCTGAGATGCTATTACTAGTATTAGGATCACGGCGCAACTTTGCAATCCCGAACTACCTCTAGACAATTCCATAAGTTTCGTAAATCCAGATTTTCGATATATGCTACACCAACTATGTGGCCCCTGAGAAAACGGGGATGATGAATTTCGGAGCTGATTGCGCGAAAAGAAGATTGGCCAAAAATCCGGGATCAGTGTACGAGGCCCGTCTTCTTGTGGTATTCAGAATATCCTGAAACATCTTCTTTCGTTACTCGACTACGCACGAAGGCGGATACATTGTTTTTTCGGTTGCTCTACAGAAAATATCAACCCTAGAAATTCGCCCTCCGCTCTTATCAATCCAGCCACCCTTTCGGTACTTCGAAGCTGTCTCTGTCGGAGCCATGCGAGACGGAACTTTGCCTAGTCCAATATCCCAGGTAAATTTCGTTTGATCGTTGGCTTCACTCGACTTAACCCCGAATTTTCAGGCCCCGATGGTGAATTTAGAGTTTGTCAACTTCCTTTGTCTCCCAAATTCGGATTTATTCTACTCCAGGCCCTGATTCTGAAGGCTATGATGCTCCGCACGGTCGCCAGATCGATCTTAGTTAGGTCGAAGCATTTCTTGGACAAAAATTAACGCCACATTGATTTTCCAGGGTTCCGTTGGTATTTCTCCATTAACATCCTTGTTCTAGATTCAAATTCCTTTGTTGCTCCTTCCTTCTTCGAATTCTTGACCTTTTTCCAGGAAAATCAACACCCTGTCTGTTTCCGAACTTGTAGTAATTGCTGCCTGGTTGTCCCAGTTGGAAAAAAAAAACAAGGCACGATTACGCGCTTCAGCAAATTCCAAGCCTGATCGTTCTCCTCCGGAAGCCCAAATTTGGATATCTTCCGCAAATTTAAGGTTCAGCTCTGGACGAGCAAAGTCATTCTTCAACTTGCCTGTGCACTTCCATCTTCGAGCTCTGCTGACATTATGGTTGTGTGTGGACTTCACTTCTGACACGCATTTCCTGACTACTCACCGGTGTTTATCTCGCAGGCCATCGCTACTGCCTTACGCCCATTCCCCTGTACTGACTGCAAAAAGTCGTTCACCAAGGGCAGCGACTTGAAACGCCATGGGGCACAGCACTGGACTAAAGAGAGGCGGAATGCAGCGTAAACCATGTTTGATATCATTTTCTTCCAGATTGCTGATTTCACTTTAATTCGGATAGTAAATATCCCTGCGAAGTCGCCGGCTGCAACCATAAGTCTCTACAGCGTTCGAATTTAAAGACCCACATGAACAAACGGCAGTGAGTTCCTCCTTATGATTTCTTTTCTATGGACTTACCACTGTATACGCAGCTACGATATACGCAACAAAATGTGTCCTGACTGCCCGTACAAAACAGCAGATGCCTCCGAGTTGACACGACATAGGATCTCCGAGCACCGCTACGCTCCAAGAAAACGGCTCGCACGACAAAAGACCGTTCCCGGCGACAATACCATGCATAAGGACTCCGACTCGGACGAGGCGAAGGACATTGACATGTCTTCGCTGGAGTCCCCTGGCAAGCCTTCACCCATCGCCCCGAGCGGTACCATATCAATCATGGTGCTCGACACTCCTCCACCGAAGGACCAGACCAGCGACGTCGAAATGCTGTCCCCCGCTACCTCGGGAAGTTACCCAGAGACGGGCTATGTCCCGCCATCCGGCCCCCCTATTCCTCCCGTTCTATGGAACATAGACTCGAACATACCTCTCCTGCCGTCACCCCACACATGTCGAGCCATGTCCCGCATCCCTCCACCCACAATGATGCCACCAGCTACCAACATCTACCTCCCATCCCCACCACGCAGCTCTAGTCCGCATCCCTCTCCGAACCTGCGACTTGGTCTCCCAGCAGAGTTGTTCATCACGGGGCCGAGGTACTACCAACTCCCTCCAATCATGTACGGCGCTGAATAGAGTCGTGCTGCTAATCTCGGTTCATATGAATTATATCCAACAAAGAGGTCGGTGTCCTTGCCGACGGCGGACTTTTGAAATGCTTTTTTTTCTCTCCCAAATGTACGGTCTTGTTTGTGCTATAGCCTCGGTTTTTGTTATGTTTCCGTTATGTTTTCCACGCGCTGTCTCCCTGCTGTCGTTTCTTGATCCTTGTCTTCTATCCATACCTGCTCTCAAGTCTCGTGTCGCAGTTTTCAGTTCTTATTACTGTCTTGTCCTGAATTATCTATATATCTACTATACACGCTGTAACTCGTAGTTAGCCCGTCCCAGAATAAAACACCCAATATAAACTCTAAACAAACTCCTTGTTCAGTTTCATGAAACTTTATGATGGACAAACATCTCCAGACACGGATTTCACAGAACGATGTTACTAGTGTAACAAAACATCCACCAACAAACATCGGCCAGAAGACTATTCTACATCAACTGATGCACTATCTCGAGCTCGACATGTATCTTTCCCCTCGCAATATATCCAGGTCGAAAGGGACTTTACCAAAGCTCGAGAACCGAACTTCCTCCAAGAATGTACACCAATGTGCATGGTCCCGTTCTCCTTCGAGTTTATAACGTCGCCTGGTTCGTCCATCTTCATCTCCACTGCTCCTTTATATCCAGATTCCAGCATATCGAAGAAAGGTTTGGCGTTGACAACGGGGAACCTCGGAGAAAATCCAAGCACTCTTTAAGACTGGTAGTATTGAATACCGATTAACTTTTACAGTCAATCCAAGTAGCAGATTATCAGGGATTGTCCATCACGCGGAGATAGAGAACCTCGACGCGGACGGTTGTCTGCAGAAATTGAGGAAACAGGCGATGCTTTGTATGTCATGGAGAAAATTGCATTCGAGGCGAAGAGTCACCAACTGGGCGACCTGAGCGCCTAAGCAAATGATGCGATTTTGGGGAAATGTGAGAGCGAGATTGGCAAGCGACCGGCGCACAAGGAATTTGAGGGTATGAGTATGAGCAACAGGAGAGGATCGAGTCTCTTTTTGACGAGGAGATTACGCACTGTCGGCAATGTGATGGGAGCGCTTGGAGATGCCTTCGAACTCCCGCAGTACAGGGATAAGGTCTTCATAGATTTTAATCGTTCCATAGCAGTCCAGCTATGTTTTCCGGAACAATCGTCGCAGGAGTATGCGGTCAAAGTGGACCAGGGAAGATGTAAGATATGGCATGGGTCGCGAGACTGGAAGCTCCTCAGGTGAACTGCTGATTTGAACGTATGCACAACGATAGACCACTGTGAGGCAGGTGCACTTCCCTTTCCCCTCATAACAAGCTCCTGTAATCGAAGGACACGTTCCCTAAAGAGGCCGCCAGTGGGCTTGGCGGAAGATTCATCCGGTTTAAATTGTTGCTCATACAAAGCTAATCGTCGAGTGAGTACCCTGCCCAGCTGGAGATGACACCACAGCTCACGTATCCCCGCCTCATAGGCAGTAAGCTAAATACTCTTCCTCTCCACCGAGCGACAGCACGGTCGCAATCGAGAGGACTATATCGTGAGTTACGCCTTCCGCACCTCACGCCTGCTCTTTACCCTCCACCTACTACAGCTCGTAAGCGAAGTAGCATTCTCTTCACCCCCATCGGTTGTAAGAAGATTGAATGCGAGTACGTAGTGCTCGTACCAGTCTCAGACTGTCGTACTCACTCGCCGGTTACCTCTTAGCTCGTAAGAACAGCAAAACATATCCCGATCCCGAGAATCGGGGACTACCTGGAAAACTGTGAATGGAAGAGAGACTATCCTTTCCTTCACGTAGCCTCACAGTCTTGCCAGGTAGGTTTCCAAATATCCTCTCTTGTATCGTGTACTTACGGTCTTGCTAGCCATAGTCGTGCTCACATGGAGTCTGAATATTTCCATCCCCACACGCAAAAGTAGGATGACCTGAAACGGGATGAGAACAGACGCCACGGATTGAAACGGTCAGATTGGAATCTCGAGAACGTTCAAGCTGGAGACCAAGCCTGTAAAGACGAGTCCTATGTGTTACACCGAGTTCCTTGTAGCGATCAGGGTTGAATAAGATGGTGGACCAGAGGCGCGGTAAAGACACCTTCGGCTGCACGGGTGAAGGCCACAGGCGGCAGTCGTGGGTCGAGGTTCAATCAAGGCTCCGTATTGTTAAGGTACGGAGATTGTACATTGAACTTTATTTTATCAACACGCGTCTGGCACATGTCAACGGTGTCTGATCTTACAGGCGAGCGCGGTATCGTCGTTAAACAGCTTGTGTACTGTCAAAGCACCTCACTTGCATAGAGGAAACATCGTGTATTGCAAGACCGGCCAAGCCATTTAAGTTATCTGAGAGCAGCGAGAATATAGAGAGGCTATGCTGTAGAGAGAATCACTTGATAAAGATTATACAGATGAAAAACAATCCATACAGATGCGAGGCTACCATCATCAAAACTCTGACTCCAACTTCTTATAACGAAGAGTAAAATGGCAGGAACTGTAGCTGAAGTTTGTAGTTTTGCTCTATTTTGTATTTGTGGCCATCCACGCCTAACCGAACTTGAAATCGATGCTCACGTGTCACCGAAAAAAAATTAGCCACAGCCTGTCTGACACCGCGACTTTCTCAGAAGTTTCTCTGGGAATGGATGGTATATCCTAGACTTTCCATGTTTTACATCCAAAATAAGGTTTAATGTTGAAAGAGTCTGTGAGCGTGGCTCACCATGCTACTCTATTGCTTGAGTCAACGAAAGCGGAATTAACTTGTATTAACACTGCGCATAAACAGCCACATAGGTCCGCATCACTGTGTAAAGTACACATGTAGCTCCCGCGGATCGACTGGCCGTAATCATTACGAGTTTAACAACACTGAGCTGAATAAGACGCGCTTGACTCACCGTCATCACTCATCAGCCACCCACTATGTCTGATCCTGACCACCTCCCTATACTATCTGCACCACCCTACGACGACTATAACCAGACAACGCCAGTTGTCAGCATTGCAGATGATGGTATCGCACCACCTCCTACGCCCCTTCCTGCCCAGACGTGTGCAAGATCTCATGCTTTCCACCTCGCCATCGCCCAGCACGACTATGACCTCGTATCTAATTTTCTAATGTCCACCCCTGCCTAACAACTCCGAATACCCTCTGCTGTTTCGGTAACACGCCTCTCCTTACCGCCGTCCGCGCTCGAGACATCAAAATAACACGACTTCTCCTCGCTCACGGCGCAGACATCAACGGGTGGAGCTCACCCTGCCACACTCCAGCCGATCTTAAGGCTCGGTTATTTTACGAATCCGGATATAACTACATTATACACAAACGATTCGAATATGTATTCTCAGCCATCCAGCGTGGAGAGCAGATCGACATGGAAGATTTACTTGATGAAGGTTTTGTGCCCCGTACCCCCCTCATGGAGCTGTGTCGACGGGTTAGATAGCGATGGTAAACCTCCTCATGCAGGAATACGGAGCAGACGACACCCTAGTCGCACCCGATGGCCAAACCACTCTGCGTCTGGCCGCCACAAACAAGCAACGCGAGATCACGATGTTCTTGCTTTCCCGACGTTTAGGCGCTTTCAAACGGATTAAATGTGGGTTAGTTTCTGTTCATTCTTTGTACGGCAATGGCTGACAACCCTCTTGTTTCCAGTCCGATCGAGAAAAGCCATTAAACGCATCAGAGTCATGGCCTGGAAGCTCTATGACGTCGGCAAGATCCTCTTCAGGGAGATACCCAAAGGCCTTCTATGGAAGATCCCTAAGGAAATCATCCTAGAAATCTGGTACAATTTATCGTGGAAGAACATCATTCGTGTCGGACAATTCCTCTTCTGGAGTTTACCCAAATCCTTCCTCTGTCATCTCCCCAAGTTCTTCCTCTGGGATCTTCCCAAATTTTTCATCACCGAGTTCCCGTGGGCCAAATTTGGTAGATGGCTGTTGAATGTCATGTTGAGAGTATACGTCCTCCTTGTCACTGTCGTGAATAAGGTTAAGGAGGCCTTCGAGAGATTCTTTTCCTTGCTGCACACCATCGCGCTGGCCATCTGAACGCTGCTGAAGGAGATCACACTTCATGATGTGTGGAACGCGATATGCGATCTTGGGAGAGTAATTTTCAGGGACCTGCCGAGAGCGGTATGGGGTCGACTGTACGATAGTTGTTTGTCATGCTCTACAAATAAACTTTCGATCCTCTGCAGGAAGCGAGTCTGTTTTAAACAAGATGATGAAGTCTGGTAAAGTGGAGGCGATGGGCGACACGTAGAAGAAGCAGACGACCGTATATCTCTGCAGGAGAACGATCTGTATGAGTAACCACAGGGCAGCTAGAGTAGGACTTATTGCGTTGTCGACGGCGGCTGCTGTGACGCCACTGCCACAGTGTCCATTAGTAGCACATCAGAACGATGGGAAGGCTCGAGTCGCCTTCGAACCAGAGGAAAAGTCAGTAATCCATGACAAAGTATGACAAAGTAGACATGGTGCTGAGTCGAAGTTAACGGAAATGCGTTCCATCGAGGCAATGGTGTCTGAACGTGTGTTCCACGGAAACGAATGGCTGCCACGTTTCTTGATCGCAGAGATGGAATTCATCGATATCCTCAGCAGCATATATGCCCAGTTACGCTTCGACAACAGATACGACCTCTAATAGCACTGAGAAGACGACCAAAGTCGGCGGAATATATGCGCATATTGGAGTATCGAGGGTCGACCGAATTGCTTTTCCGAGCTGCATAGGCGTAACTGTATTGTAGGGAGAGATTTCAAGAAGCAGGCAAGGAGAATACGATAAGGCTAAGCTGCGACGTCGGTCGATTTCCTGTCAATTTCACGGTAATCGTCATAGCGCATCATAAAACATATAAGCAGGTACATTTCGGAGCTGAGCACATTTCTCACCAAGAACCCCTTCTATTGGTATAATTTATTCCACGACAGCCATTCCGACGAAGGTATGGGGCTAGATCCACAGATCAAAACGAACTTCCAGATCCTGGGGCTTATCTTAGCCATTCATTCAGCTGGATGAGATCGACCCCAACGAAGAAGAGGAAAATTTGAGTTCCCAAATTTCAGAGCAAGGTTTTCGCTTCAGCAACGCGAAAGGCAGTGACAGCAACCTGTCTTGAATCCGAGGTGCACAGAGCTGTTATCTGTCCAACGAATATTAAAAATTATGCAGCGTGATAGAGAAGAAAGCGGTAAGAATAATTGACGTGGAGTTGAGCATATCATTCGTCGTGGCAAAGAAGAAAGAGGCGCGGGTCACGTGCTACCGCCAAACGTCGCATTTGCTCTCATGTCGGGAACTGTTCCCCTCCGCCATTCCCTCAATACTTCGCGTCCTCGTCCATTTTGTCTTTCCGATAGAATAACAGGGCGATTATTTTACAACATATTCTTACACGCTCGTCCCTCTGACACCAGTCTCTGGACCCTGACGCACACTCTGGTTCGTCCACCTCCTGAAAATTTCGGTTTCTTCTCGAATGCTTTCCGCCGCTGGGAAAATCAAGAATTTTTATATTTACTTTGCTGACACCGTCTACTTGCGTACCAAAGGGATGTCCACTAAAAATCCGGCCGGGCCGTACTGTTCAACAACGTCCGAGTCTGATACTTGCGTTGACTAGACCGTTCATTCGAGGACTTACGTTACTGGTTGTCTTTTGCCTTCTGTTGTGGCGTATGTCTGGATCTGGAGACTCGGACGTGGAAGATATCGATCCGAACATGGATCTGGCACGCATCTGTCGTAAAACATGCGATGTCAAACTCTGTTTGGTGTGATATTCCCGGTGAATGGAATGTCACTATTGGCTGCAGTCAACTGGTCCCTCAAATTCCAGGTCCCGATGATAAATTTGGCGTTTCGCATTTTCCTTTGTCTCCCAAATCCGGATGTCTGTTACGAAAGGTCCAGGTTCTGAATGCTATGACGGCTCCTCCCGCTCGCTACCACCTCTCTTTCGAAGCACGATCTGGAGAAGAAAATCAAGCCACAAGCCTAGGATTCCTTTCCCTTATTCTCGTAAGCCTCGCTTTATAGCGACCCTTTTCCCTCTTACACACTCAGACGTCTTTGTATTCCTTCCATCACCGAATTCTTAGTCGCTTTCTTGGGAGATAAACGGCTCGACTTTTCTTGGATTTGGGAATAATCGACATTTTGGATTTGAGCAACAGAGCCCTTTGTCCGCGCTTCAACAAGGCCCAAGCCTAACGATGCTCCCGAATCTGAGTGGTTGCAAATTGAGATACGATTGTAGATTTAAGCGTCGACGTTGGGAGAGAAAAGTCATTCTTCAACTTGTCTGCCTATTCTCAACCTTCCGCTCCAATTACGTCTTGTACTCCTCGTATCATGGTCGTGAGTGGGGGTCGTTCTCTGAGGGCTTCATTTGACGAGTCACATGTCCTTTCACAGCAAACAATCGCTTCCTCTGTCCGCCGATATCCCTACGACAAATGCACAAGGTCGTTTACCAAGAAATGTGACTTAAAACGCCATAAGCCTCAACATTGGACGAAGGAAGAACGAGAAAAAGTGTATGTCTTATTTCTATCCTTACTGACATGGGAAACTAATTTCTCTGTCGCAGAATGTACAAATGTCCTGAGTGTCCACGCATGATGCTACAGCGATCCAACTTGCAAACGCATATTAACCATGTACAGTAAGTCCTGTATTTAGTCTCTGCTTGGCAGTCAGCATGCTTATCACTATTTTCTCAGCAAGAAGGAAGTCTGCAGTGAGGTTGACTGCACATTTGTGACGACGGACCCAGTGGAAATGAACTGGGACAAAAACAATCACAATCATGGCTATACACCAAACCCCCGCCTCGAACGCCAACAGACGCCCGCTAGTAATGACGTTCGCAATGGAACCATATTATTGCCACCTACGCCTGCCGCTACTCCCCAACATCAGCCATCACTAGTCCCTTCGACGAGCGCTACTACTTGCGGCGCTGTGTTTGAATCTTCAAATTCCTCCTCTACTCCCAATCGTACAGCACCATTTTCATCTTCATGTCTTCCAACACCTTCCAATACGCTCCTGCCGTGCTCTTCAGCTTCTCTGCTCCGACTCCCAGCAGAACTATTTATAGTGGGTCCGAGGAAATACCAGCTGCCTCCGATCATCCATGATGAATGTTAATTTGGCAATGTCCATGTTCAGGCCAGGCTGTTTTTGGTATAAGATAACAGACAGGTTGGGAGTCGGAAGGGGAATCCCCATATTAAATTGGGTGGTATGGTACAGCTTGCTTCAGGAATAGACATATATTCATTATCTTTCCTTACTGCTTCTTTGGTACTAATTATATCACCCCTGCTTTACACTGTTTCCTAACGTCTTGCTCTTACATCACTGTGTCACTGCTTATCACTTAGCTATCGTACTAGTTATTCATTAAAAGCACAAAATTGTCTGGCAGATGAGTAGCTAACTACTAAGAGTTATGCGGTGGTCGTGAGAGATCGGCATCTAATGCCGTTCATTGTTGAACCGGCGGCTTGACTCACTTGGTCCCTGGGCGCCTTTCGCTCCGTGGCAACCCCAACCTTCCCTTGTGATCTTTATCGCTCGTCTGCGATGCTGCTCTCAGTGCCCAACGAAATCCTCAATAGGATTGCCTTTGAAGTAACAACCACCCTATACTGCCGGAAAGAAACTAACCAGCATGCAGGCAGATAGTCGGACTCGTCGGCACCTTCGACGTACATGCCAGCTGCTCCGTGATATCGCCACACCTCTCGTCTTTAAATCAGTCTACATCGACCTATCTTGGAGTCGGCACTCTAGCTCAGCTCCCATCTTTCTTAAATCACTTAATTCTGGTCCGAGATTGGCGCAATACATCATTCGTCTTTCCCTCTATCTGGACAAAGAGTCCCGGCCTCTTCCCTCCCGTTTTGCTAGCGAAGCTAGAAAGAAGATGAGAGACGAGAGACTAGATTCTTTTGATGCCCTCTTCCTTGGAGCTATTCCATCTATGGTTTCATTGAAATCGTTATTGTGAGTTTTGTAAGATTTTGGCGAACTTGATTGATATTGATCACCCATCTCAGTTGGAGAAGTATCGGGAATTTGGGACCGAACTATGCTAATCTGATGTTTGAACGGTTCGGAAATCTACCCCTCTTGTCCAGCCTGAAGATAGACCGTCGCGGCAACTGGGACATACCCTTGTCTCCATTTCGTCACATTCGAGATATCAACTTGAACTATTGGGGCCAAATAAGCAACGAGCTCATTACTTTCCTCGGCTACAATCCAGACATAGAAAGTATAGATGCTTACGTCTGGGGCGGGGGTTTCGACAACGATGAAAGACGATCGATTTCATTGTTGTTTAGCTCTTTACCTCCGGGAACGTACAGTACTGTGAAGACACTGAAGATAGGCGGCGGAATATACTCCGAGTTATACGCACACGAAATCCCCGAACTCATACCTCATTTGCGTCACCTCGAGAGCCTGGACACGTATATTACCATACCCGATGAATTTTGGGATGGATTGCAGGAGCAGGGAATATGCTTGGTGTCTCTCACATATCACAATCCCAGTTTGGCGCTACTGTCGTATCTCTCGTCCTATACAGGGCTTCATGAACTGTCACTTAACATGTCGTCAGACCCGACCAATGGCAATCTCCATATCTCATCCCTTCTTCCGACCGTCATCACCTTGAATTCTTCGTCGTTGACGACAGTTCGCATTGGGCCCTGCCATAGCGGAGCATGGTGCTTGGACCATTCTATGCTAGATGCTTTGGTTCTTTGCCGCGGTCTGAAATCATTATATGTCTGCGCTGACAAATCGAGAACGACAGCAGAAGAAAACAATGTCATTGTGAGTCGCTCACTTCGTCCCAGATTTGATTAGTCCGACGGCTAAATGTGTTCGTAGGATAGAATATTACACGCTTTCATTGCATCCTGGCCGAATCTCTGCAATCTTCAAATAGAAGCGGTGTCTCGTTCCTATGGATTTGAAGCAGTAAGAACGACCGCAAGTGAAATTCATAGGCGCATTTTAGCCCTGCGTTTCGCACCGCTACCACCTGAAAGGTTTAGACCGCAACTGTCATCAGACTTCGCTACATATTCTGTGAACATCTATGATCGAAAGAACAACATTCACGTGTTTAAGGTGCAGCATTTGGAGTATCATGGAAGGAGGGAGTCGTGGAGGAAATACAAGTTCTGGAAGCGATCTGATGGTTAATTTGTAATACCTACGGTAGTTTAATCACAATGAGTGGTTTACCTTGCACAGACTGATCGTACAAAGCTACCATCATAATGTACTTTTCTTTGTTCAAGGATCATTTACCGAATTCCGAGAAAAATCAAGACATTGGCCAGAGTTTGACTGTAAGTCTAACCACGCAGCTGCCAGTGTTCGGTATCTTCCTGTGAAATCTGTACTTGTGGACCGGCTTGATTTCGTTCCTGTTTTGTTCGTCCCATTTCTTCAACTGGTTCCGAAAAAGTTTCCCGACCTTAGTGCGAGTTTCCAGCACTAACTTTCAGACGAAGTCGTGGCAATTTGTTCTGTGTTAAGCCGAGGAACTCCCGTTCGCTAAATGTCTACTGCGTTACTTTAGCCGTCAAGACAGTCAATACTGTTCCGCTGGCGCTCTCATTGGGCGACTGCTCCTCTGAACCATAGAATACATACTTCATTCGCAGTGCCTCGTTACTACTTATCCAGGACAAACGCTCTGTCCTTGCACAGAAGAGATAAGGACCCAGGACATTTTGTGGCTCTGACGACCTCTCCGATTTCGGTCGGATTGGAATTGGACATGGTCTCATATAATCTCTGTGTTCTTTAAGTTCCTGCCTCTGTTATCTTCCCTCGGAATATTAGCTAACATAATCTGGGCTTGTATATAGGTTACTCGGGCCATTCTCTGAGTCTCTGACAATGTCCCATTTCTTCAGCCCAGAAGTCTTGTTACTCAAATGCGTCTCCTACCTTCCGACTGTACTAGATAGCTACCGTGGATGCGACGACTCAGGGATACCGATATCCATCAGAATTTTCGTTAGGCATGTCTGCAGTGCCGATTTGTCATATTTCTTTACATCGTGTCCCGTAAAGCGGCCAAGCGAATGTTCTGTATGCTTAACTTCATATCCCACATTGCCTCCGCTAAAATTCAATGTCGTTGTTCGTCTTATCATTTCTATCTCCATTCTCTCTGAGGACCTGTCACAGTCTCATATGGCGCATCTACTGTTGTTTTCCTACAAATTCCGATCGATGTTCACGGTGCTGTGGAAATCAAGATATGATATTAACCCTGAAAGCGTTGTTCTCCGAAATTTTCAATTATTATATCCAGGGGATGATTCAACAAAACTCATAAGACCAATCAAAGGGAACTCTTGTATCTTCACCTTCAAAAAAAGTGGGCCGATGTAGTGCTATCCAGACGCTTACCTTGCAGAGAGCATGGCTGCGAAATGGGCTATCAATGACGGAACAGGTGGGAATATCTGTGGCTTGGAAATAGCATATCCATCCATCCTGAGGGACGCAGTGTATATCCTTATAAGTCCAAGAAACACAACCTGAGGCTTCTTGAAGCCACCTACATCTCCTTGTGACGACTTTGTCATTTACACCATCATTGCCACACGGTACAGTGCCTCTTGAGCATGCCATGCGAGATTAAATGCTTGATGGTTGCTGTTCAGCGGCGACGTTGGCCTTCGATGTCGTCGAAGCGCGTGGTGCGGTACTTCTCTTCGGATTTCCTGTGAGTCCCATTACACAGCCAATCAAGATACTTCACACCCTCATCACTCACATGCCAACGATGAACAAAGCTAAGTCACGGCTTATTCATTTAGAAACCATGGATTTAAATGCTCGACGACTCACAAGTTGGACAATGGATACACTTTGAATAACAAGAGCCTGCACAAGATCATTAGAAATATGTCTCATCAGGATTTAGGGTCTGTAACAGTATAATGTAGAGATGATGGTTCAAATATTCCAGTGCTGCATTAACAATAAAGCATGTCACAGCTTTTCTGAAGCTTCAGGGAGAATGGGAAGGTATTTCAAAGAGCATAGATTTGAGTCATTGATGATGCCTACAAATTTTATTTCCACAAGTTTGGAACATATAGATATCCACATAATTCATGCAAGCATGAATTGCTTGTAGGGCCTAAGGTTCTTGCAAGATTCAAGTTTTCTTTCAGAATGCCAATTCTAGTAGGGCAGCACAATGAGGAGAATTTTCTCCAGAATGCATGAAATACCTTAATAAAGACAAAAGATATTTTAATTTGTTCCATTGAACAACATGCTGTATCAATGCTAGAACAAAAGCAGGTCACCCAAAACTGAAAAAGAGAAAATGTCCAGATGATCTATGCAAAAATAAGTTACACAGTTCAAAAAAGTTCCTCATATCAGACTCATCAGAAACTAGCCTATTGTTAGGCTCAAGCTGCATGTGATCTAGAACATATGATAAACTAGCATGACTTTGCATTCAAGCCTTCCACTAGAGTCCACTGATGTACTTCTGTGATTAAGGTGCTTCAAGATGCAAGAAGATAGCTCAAGAGTAGAATGAGTATGAATAAACTTTAGCTTGAAGCTGGAGATTACCAGCAAGAGCAAGCTTTCTTATATACTACAGGGTGTCATTGATATAAATACTTCTACCTATTGTGTCTGTCCTTGGTTGTCATGCCCTTTGTCCTTGGATGTCACTACCATCCATAAAAGAGTAATTGTACATTGTTGAGTGTTGTTGCCATGTCAAGAGACAATGATTGACTGGACTTTGTTGTGATGACTAAGCCATTCCCATGGTCTTAAGTGCTGGTCTAGCACTCTGACTAAGCATAAACAGGGGTTAATACTGGGAATGAAAGAGAAAATAAGGGAAAATCATAACATTACCCCTGCCTTAAGACCATCATCCCAATGGCTTTAATTTAGGGATAATTTGTAGTCTTATATGGTGTCTTCAGCATCCATTCATTTCTCACTTACCCACTGGTTGGATTTGGGCCCATAACCTCTCCAACTGACTAGATAGTCAACTATTGTTATAGTACTGCCACCCTTTGCTTTGACCTTGTAAAGTTTGTGATTTAGGATGTGATTGATTTTATAGTGCTTCTCATCATTGATCAGGTTAGATGATGGTGGTGGTGGTGGTGGTTGTTCTTGATTCAGAAATGCCAGTGTGACATATGATGTTAACAATGTTTTGTTGAAAACATCATGGATTTTCCAATGAGCCAGCAGTCAGAGTCAATAGGTGGAGGCTCCAACTTTGGTGAGTATGAGGAATGGTCTCATGCATTTGTCAGAGAGCTTTTATTTTGGGCAAGAGAGATGGAGGTGAGTGGTATCTAACCAGACTTTATCATTGGTGTTATACATATATGCAGTGCATCAATGAGTGTCATACTGCTTCTTCATTGCAGAGGCTGCTTTTTCAAGGGCAGTGTGTGTCTCATCATGGATTTTTATCATAGTTGTGGCAAAGTTGGTAGAGGCTGATATTGTAGTATGAGAGTGTGTTGTCTGTGTGATGTGTGGGTGACATTCATAGTTTACAAAGAAGAGAGATTTTTCCATTGCCAAATGGATTCAATTATTGTGTTGGAAGACCACAAGGGCTAACCACTCAACCCAGTCATCTTATCTGTGGTTAATGAAAAGTCATAAGTATTTTTCAACTTTCTGGTTGGCCCTCTCTGTTTGACTATCAGTCTGAGGGTGATATGCAGTGAATGCATTGTGGTGAATATTCAGCAGCTTGTATAGGTCATTCAGGAATTTGGAGATGAACTGTGGGCTACAGTCAGAGATGACTGTTTGGGGCATGCCATATTTGGCATAAATCTCATTGCATAGAATCTTTGCCCATCCTTTGGATGTTAGCTCTGTTGAGCATGCAATGGGGATGATCACCTTAGAGAACCTATCAATGATGATGATTGTGTCATAGCTGTTATAGTCAGAAAGCCTGATGATCATGTTTACTGAGATGTGGGTCCAGGGTGATTGAGGTATTGCATTCAGATGGAGCAGTGCTGCCCATGCCTGGGTTGTGGACTTTCCCTATTGACAGGTTTTGCATCTCTTTACATAGCATTCAACATTCTGTCCCATCTTTGGCCACCAGTATTTACATAGAATTAATTCTTTGGTTTTCATGATTTCTGGATGTTCACAGATAGTGTGATCATAGAATGTGGTGATGATCTCTCCTCATAGTTGTTGATTGCATGAGATATAAATCCATTCATCATAGCAGATTAATCCTTCCTCCTTTGTCATTCTGTGTTTATAGTTCAGGGATGAAGCCATGCATTGGTCCCATTTGCTGGTGTCCTGGGTTGCACTTTTGATCTGCTCATGGATTTCTTCCTCTATCAGCATTATCATGGCTCAGAAGTGCTCTGGCTTTAACAATGTGACCCCCTCATTGTCATGTCCTCCTTGATCATGATTGGCATATCTGCTAAGAAGGTTGGCCTTCTTGTTCACTGTCTCTGCCTTGTGATACAGAGTGTAGAGGTACTGGCTTAGTTCTGTTACCCATCAGGCCTGTTGTCAATTTAGCTTCTGGGGTTGCTGGAAGTATCTGAGGTTCTGGTGATCCATCCAGATCTCAAAGGTTTCAGTTGCTCCAATGAGGTAGTGCCACCACTCTTTTAGAGTGAGCATGATGGTGAGCAATTCTTTGTCATAGATTTCATAGTTTCACTCAGTCACCATTAACACTTTAGAGAGGAAGGCTACTGGTTGCCACTTCCTGTCCTGTTCTTGCAACAGGACAGCCCTGATCATGCCTTCACTTGAGTCAGCCTCTACTCAGAATTTGCCATTCTGGCTTGGGATAGCCAATACTATGTCCTCTGCCAGCTATTGTTTTAGATCATCAAAGGCTGATTGCTGTGATAGTCCCCATGCCCAGGAGGCATTACCAGTTAATTATGTCATCAGTCATATGATCTTGCTATAGTCTCATATAAACTGCCAATAGAAGTTGGTGAACCTTAAAAAGGATTGAAGTTTCTTTTTCTTGGTTGGTTCTGGCCATTCTACCACTCCAGCCACTTTGATAGAGTCCATTTGAATGCTTCCTTCTGTTAGACCCAAGCTGCATGTGATTATAAACATGTGATAAACTGACATCACTTCACACTTCAAGTGGAACATCAGAGTTCACTTATTGTAAATATTAATCAATATATGTCAAGGCTTTAAGATTGGCTCAAGAATGGAATAGTATGAAGATAAACTTTAGCTCAAAGCTGGAGTATACCAGCAA